ATATGACAAATTCTCTTCAAAATTCCATCTGCTAAATCTTTTTTGAGCTTTCTGTAACTCATCATCCCGGACGATCCCGTATCATCCTAGACGATATGATCGAACTCAATTATAATCTCTTTTGATCGTCTTGGCCGATATAACTTTTGTCTTAGATGATGCACTTATGATAATCGTCCTGCCCGATACACTAGATCGTCCTGGATGATCCACGTGTCAGCACGTTTAAATCCTTAAAATCAGCCCCAGACGATCCATTATTGGACAATCGTCCTGGCCGATCCACTGTTCGTCCTGGACGATACACATGGCACAGATTTAAAATGTTTTAACTTCGTCTAGTACGATCAATTATTGTGTATCGTCCTGGACGATACACCTAATCAGCCCGGACTATCTGCTTTTTCAAAGGTCGTCTGGCTTGACTCCTGACTCCTCGGGACGATTGCCTGTGTCTAATCGTCCTGGCCGATATCTGATCGCCCCGACCGATCAGACTGCCTTTTTGACCAATCGGCCTGTACAAAATAATTGATCTAAATCGTCCTGGACGATTCTGTGATCGTCCTGGACGATATGGCCGTTTCTTTAAATTCAGGCCATTCCAGCCATTATTTTCGCCTCAACCTTCTTCTTCTCTTATGTTTTCTTACTAGTTTCTTGCTATGGCTTGTGGGAAGCGAGTCCGACAAACTTCTGGGAGTTCTTCGAGGGTTAGGATTGACCCTCATTTTAGGGAGGCAGAAGATGAAGCTGCTTACCATCGATATAAAGAATGTGGGATAACTGTCTCCAGAGTCATCAATCCTGACCACCTTTCGTATCTGGTAATGGATCTCTTCGCTCACACTTCTCTTTATTTCATTCTTTCTCTCGTTGTCCCCTTTCATTATGAGCTTATTCGTGAATTCTTCACAAATCTTTGCTTAAATCCTACTTTCACAACCCTAACCTCCTATTTGAATCGACGCCCGGTCGAAATCACATATTAGGACTGTGCTGAACTAGTGCAACTATCCACCAACGGGGATAAGCTGCATATAATCATCTCATATCCTGACTTTAACTGGTCCACGGAAAATCATTTCATTCGCCACACCAATGCACCTTTTCATGTTGGAGAGACTAGCTCTTTAGTCAAAGATGCTAGGACAATTCAACATGTCCTTCGAACCTCCATTATTCTAAAAGCTAGGGACCGAATCCACATCACTCCTCTACTTTCTCTGACTACTTTTTACATCATGGCATATAGAGAATTTAATACTGCAGGCTTAATTTTTTGGTACATAGATCATTTAACCACAATCCGCGATCCAGGTCATAAGAGGAAACCCAATATGGCTTTAGGACACCTCATAGCCTATGTCCTTAAAACAAAATATTAACTTCAATATCTTGCTCCTCCCAACCTCCCAACTCTCTTCTACTCAAACAGTTCCTTCAATATCCTTCACAGTACTCGTCTCCACCTAGGGGATGAGGAACCTCAGGGGGCTGAGGAGGAGGAGGCTCCTGCTCCCGCTCCTGTTCCTGATCCTACTCCTCTTCGATAGCACTCACAGCTTGACTAGTTAGTGGAGAGATTTGATCATTGGGAGACCCATTTTGATGCTTACGTTGCTGCACAGGAGCAGCAATATTCTGAGGACATTACCCGCTATGAGCAGCACCGCATAGAGGACTTAGCCCATTTTGACAGCTACATTACTCACCAGCAGCAGCAACACGACCAGGACATAGCCTGGTTCAATGCTCAGTTTACTACGCTAGCCAGCTACTTTCAGCAAGCTCCACCACCTCCACCTCCATCTGATGATCAGGATCCCTCGTTTTTTTAGTTGTAGTTTCTGTTTTCTGTGGATTGCTTCCTTTTTTTGTATTATGTTTTTTTCTTCAATTTTTTTTGTTTCCTCCTCTTTTTTAAATGTCAAAAGGGGGAGTAGTGTGTTTGTACTTGCTCTCTTGATTAGTATGTTTGTACTTGTTCTGGTAAAAGCTTGTTTAGTTAGAAATTAATTTTTGATATGTTTGCCATCATCAAAAAGGGGTAGATTGTTACAAACATGTTTTTAGATTATGATTTTGATGATAACAAACAAATCTTGCTTCACTATGACTGCTTTTTTCTACTGACTTTTCAGGACTCAAAGATCGAACGGAAATCAGAATCAGCTAAAGATGGGGTATATTATGGTTGAGTCAGACTGTAATTTTATTTTTCCCTTTTTGAGTCAATTGTAATCTTTGGTGTGACTAATGCAAAGTAACCCTATACACAAACACTTGAGAGACTTAAAATTTCTGTTTTTACTCAAATCTGCCAAGATGTTATTTACATCGTCCTGGACGATCGAGCTTAAAATAGTAAATCTAATCAAGGGTTCTTAATTAAGGCAGTCGTCACTAGCAAATCGGCTTGGACGATACTTGTATCGGCCAGGACGATAGGATCAAAATAGAAAGAAATTGCCGCCATAAACAATTAAGGTATTCTGTAATTTTGGCAATCGGCCAGGACGATCTTGGATCGGCCTGGACAATATTCACAATTATGCCTTAATTAATCAGAAAAATCAAGAAAGTAATTAAGGATGATTGATATGATCACATCGTCCTGGACAATCGCAGAATCGGCCAGGACGATCTATTCAAAAACTTTAGTTTCTTCTGGACGATAAATATCGGTCAGCACAAATTCAGGAAGATGCTCTAGACGATTCTCCTCTGATTTGAACTGATAGGCCTGGACGATCATGTGATCATCCTGGATAATCAAGCCAATTTTTAATCATCCAGTTTATATTTAGGGCGATGCCTTAGCCGATCTCATGGGATTTGTACTGATCGGCCAAGACGATGTCCATATCATCCTGGACGATATAGTCGGCAACTTGCAATTAATTAGCTCCTTTGAAGCTCTTCTATTTAAGAGCTCTTGTTCAACGTTTTTGAACATCCTTGGCTGCTATCTTGACCTGAGAAAACTTAAAGGAGAGAGAGAGGGAGAGAGAGAGAGGATCTTGTGAGGGGGAGCTTGTGAGGGGATTCACAAGGGTTGCTCCAAGCATTGTTCCACTTCTTCTTCCCTAGAGTCTCTTGTCCTTGGAAGGGTTGGGAGAGGTAAGTTCCAGCAAGCGATCGAGGTTCTCTGCCTGCTTCAGGAGGAAGCAAAAGGAGGAAGGTTCTCTGCCTTGCCAGGTGTGGCAAAAAGAGGTGTTTGTAAAGGCTTCTCCGCCTAGCTGTGGGGGCTAAAGGAGAGTCATGATTGTAGTGCAATACTCGGAGGGCGCCTCAGGGAGTGGACGTAGGTCGAGTTGACCGAATCACTATAAACCCTTGTGTTTTTATTTTCTACTGCTTTCGCATTTATTTTCTTTCGCACTTTTTTTTTGGTGATTTGGTTTGTATTAGTGCTTTTCCTAAAGAATTTTTTAAATACCAATTCACCCCCCCACCCTCTTGGTTAGCCTTGGGCCAGTTCTATAGGGCTTAACATCCTTAACAAACTTTCATAAAGCTCTAATAAGTACTATGAATCATATAACTCTGATGGAGAATAAATAGATTAAAATATTTTGTGATTCTGAACTAGTGATCAACCATATTGTAGGAACCTATAAGGTTTTAAATCAGAAATGCCTCAAATATCACAAATACACCTACCACCTGCTCGAGCAAATTCCTATTGTAACTTTGTATAGAATTTCTCATGGAAGCAATTATGCGGCAGATGCCTTAGTGAAGATCAAAAAGAAATTCACATATCTAGAAGAAGCCTAAATTCTTATAGAGATTCAAGGTCATGAAGTCCTATCTCTTAGAGATTTGGAGCACATCAATAAGTAGTCTTCCTAGGTCCTTGATGTTTCTTTAACAACTAATGAAGAAGGCGATTGGAGATAACCATTCATTGACTACCTTCAAGAAGAAAAAAAAAATCAAAAAAAAATCCTTACCTTTCAAATAAAAAATTATGCAATCTTATATGCACATGTGAATAATACACTATACCACGAAACATTTGATAAGATGTGGCTATGTTCTTTAGACAAATGAGAGGCCCTAGATATCATCAATGTGGTTCCCTCTAGATTATATGGTGCTCATCATTTAAATCCTAAGAAGAAAATGAAAATTAAATGACTTTGATACTACTGGTCTATAATGATTGAAGATTTCTTGAATGTTGCAAAACCTTATCCTCAAAGCTAAATATAGTGGGGTCTTACATTGACCACCTAATAAGTTGCATCCCATGATAGTTTTGTGTTTCTTTGAGAGTTTGGGCACATATTTTATTGGGCCTATTAACCCTCCTTGCTCGAAGGGTCATCGCTTTTTTTTTAGCAGCGATTGATTATTTTTCCAAGAGGGAGGAAGCAGTTCCCCTATGAAACATAACATCACACCATGTCATAAAGTTCTTTCATGATCATATCATATATTGATTCAACATACCCAATAGAATCATATCCATTATTTGGTCTACATTCTTCTTTTTTTTTTTGAAAACATGCATCATTTGCATTAAGAAAGCAAAGTAAAGCTAATTACACTTTAAAAGAATGAAAAGTATCACATTCCTCCTTGATAGAACATAAAAGCAAGGAAGGAATGTTGCCAAAAGTAAAACTATCAAAGAAGAAGCTACTATTAAGAGCCATGGTAGCACATAAGTTGGCCACCTTATTACAATTCCTATGAACATGATTAAAGACCACTTTATGAAAATCATTGACAAAGAGCATATCCTCCAAAGGCCACCTGTCAGCGATCTTTTTATTCTTCTTGGAAGAGTCCTGAATGAATCTTATGACATTAATGTTGTCACTCTCAATAATCACCCCTTTGTACTCAAGCATCCAACTCCTAATATACTCTCTAACCGAGTAAACAACCTCCATTTCAAGTTTAGTAATGTCCCAATGAATCTTCTTCTCCCCAAAAGCAAGGATAAACCTCCCCTTATGGTCTCTAAAGATTCCCCCAACTCCAGCTCAGTTGGATCTAAGCAATGAAGCATCAACATTTATCTTCATCCAGTCTTTCGGAGGAGGGCACCAAGACTCACAAGACTCCCTAAGGAGATTGGTTCCCCAGTTTGAAAGATAAGGACTATCTTTATTACTAGCCAATGCCAAAGCATTAGAAGCAATCACAGAAGAAGACAATGCAGGTTTCCCATGCTTCACACAGTTTCTATTCCTCCAAGACAAATAAACAATAGTGCAGTAAATCCTCACAGTATCGAGATTACGGGTGGTCATTCTCCTCAATTCCTGCAGACAGCAGTTAAGAGACTGAAAAATTGGAGTATAGATGCCCCAATCTTGCATCTGTTTCATGACTTCAATCAAATATTTGCAATGTACCATAATGTGCTCATAACTTTCATTATTATTACATCCTCTAACACAAGCTTTATCCATAACAAGCCTATGGTAGTGCAGAAAAACATTTGTGGGAACAGCAGATATTTCGAGCCTTCACCAGAAAATTTTGACTTTCTTGTTGAGCTTGAGCTTAAACAGCCATGAGTAGTAATCCTCACAATCCAAATTGTAAGTGCAGTTCATCATAAATTCATAGGACATTGCCGAGTTAGACTTACCCGAAAACATCCTCAGCAGCTCTCTCCGATCCTCCATCCAAGAAAAGATCTGAATATTGTTGATCAACATGATAAAATCAGGATGAAAAACTTCCTCAAGCAGTGCATAATTCCAATGACCTTCACTAGATAACAGTTGGCTGACATTCATCCCTTCCAAAGCTACACAATCCACTAGAGTAGGCCATCTGTTAATGCTCTTGTCCAGCACCCAGATATCATCTAAAACGTTTATATTATTGCCACTTCCCACAACCCATTTGGTAATGTTCTGCAGCTATCTTCCCCCATCAATTAAAATTTTCCATGCATTTGAAGTTATCTTCTTCTGTGTTCCATTCATCAAGTCCTCTCCATACTTGTGCATGATGGTTTTAAAACAAACAGATTCAGTTTTCTGATAAAAGTCCCAAGCTAGTTTGGATCTCAAAGAGCTCACCCTCAACAAAGGAGAATGAAGTCCCATTCCTCCCAAACTTCTCGGTTTGCACAATTCTTCCCAAGCCACATAGTGCATACTATGCTCTCTGCCCGATTTATGCCATAGAAATTTTCTACAGAGTTTCTCCATCTCATATAACAACTTCTTAGGAACTAAGGAGTGAGTTACTAAAAAGTTTGGCATAGATAACAAAGAACTAGAGATAAGAGTAATCTTACCTCCCAATGATAATATCTTCTTGCCCCATGTATTAAGCTTATCCATAACTTTGCTTAACATATCTTGAAAATCAGCCAACTTCAATCTATTTAAGGACAACTTGATCCCAAGGTAGTTCATCTCCTTCATATTTTTGTTGCCAAACAACCTGATAACCTTCTTCTTAATTGGGTACCCAACTGCCTTTCCAAATAGAATATGAGATTTATTAACATTTATCCTTTGGCCCGTCCAATTGCAAAAATCTTGAACAATCTTCTTTAATGATTTGGCTAAAAAGATGGATACATGGGAGAAGAGTAGCACATCATCTGCATACAAAAGATGAGTAATCCTAGGGCCTCTAGGAGAGACTCCAATGCCAAGGTCCTGACCCTTCTACTCAATAGAGTTAGAAAACAACTGGAAGCACATAATGAAGAGATAAGGAGATAGTGGGCATCCTTGACGGAAGCCACTATGAGCATCAATCCACTCAGAATTCCTTCCATTAATAATGATTGAGAATCTTACACCTACAACACAATCCATGAGAAGTTTAGAAAACATACAAGGGAATCCATACCCTTTAAGGATTTGATCAACTGCAGGCCATCCCATGCTATCATACGCTTGTTCCATATGTAACTTCAAAGCCATCAATCCCTTCTTGTTCTTGGAGAATTTAAATTTGTGAAATACCTCTTGGGCCAACAAGCAATGTTCAGAAATAGACCTTCCCTCCCGGCATAAAGGCCATTTGCTCTTCAGTGATCAAATTGGAAATGCATTTCTTCAATCTGTTAACTAGAATAGTGGCTGCAATTTTATAGTTAGTCTGACATAAACTGATCGGCTTGTAGTCATAGGGAGTTAAAGGGCATTTGATTTTAGCAATCAAGACAATTAGAGTATCCTTCCAAGTCCTATTCATTTGACCGGAATTAAGGAAGCTCTTAATAGCTTCCCATAAGGATTTCCACACAATATCCCAATAGCATTTTTAAAAAGATGAGGTAACTCCATCCATACCTGGAGCTCTATTGTTACCCTGTTGAAAAACTAAAGCCTGAAATTCAGCCAAAGTAAATTCGAAACATAATTCATCAACAGCTCCCTGGCTCAACTTCTATTTTTCCAAAACAACAGGCCATCCTGTTAATTCACAAGTTATGTTCTTCCATTTAGCTTCAAAGAAATGAGTGAACACCTTCTCGATTTCATCATCATCAACCTGAGATATGTTATTCACATCTCTAATTTGAACCACCCTATTCCCATTCCTTCTAGCCGAGGCAATGTTATGGAACATCTTTGAATTGCTGTCACCTTCTTCATGCCATCTAGCCTTTGACCTTTGATTCCACCATGTAGCTAGCCGGTTCAAAGTTATATTAAGCTCGTGTACTTTACTTCTAAGAAAAAGGAGATCCTCATTAGTCCAATCTATTCCAACAGCCTCTATGTTTTGGAGTTCAATAATATCCTTTTTCAGCTCTTCTTTGAGAGTATTCAGATTTTTACACTTTCTTTTGCTCCAAAAAAATAATGCCTTCATTGTTCTACAAGTCTTCCTTTGAAGGAATTCACTAGGATCACCGAAATCATTCTTCTTCCAAGAATGATACACAATGCTTCTAGCCGCTGGATATGACCTCCATGTATCCTCAAATTTGATATTCTTCCTCTTGACCTGGATCTTCTCATCCAATTTGAAGGCAATTGGACTATGATCCGTAGCCACTCTTACTAAGTGTCTAGTCATAGCCGATGGAACTCACTGAAGAACAATCGAGTTCACCAAACACCTATCCAATCTTTCCCAAATTTGAGATGCTCCTTCTTTGTTGTTGCACCAAGTGTACCTTGGTCCAATACTCCTTACATCATGAAAATTTGAATTTGTCATAAATTGTTTCATCTCCCTCGGCCCTTTAGAAAATACAAATTTCTTACCTCCTCTCTTCTCCTCCTTGATCAAAATACAGTTAAAATCCCCACCAATGATAAAGGGATAATGCTCTTTCAATCCCTCTTCAAGCTGCCTCCAAAGATCCTCCCTTTCTTTGCAACAACGACTTCCATAAACCGTGGCAATCTTCCATAAGCCCATACTTGGGATCAGAAGATCCCCCAAGATCACTTGTGAAGAAGTAACCTTGACCAGAAATGACACAAACTTTATGTTCCATATCACCAGCATTCCCCTTGACAAGCCAACGGCTGGAATATGATAAAAGTCCCAATCATTCCCAATGAGATAATCAACCTCCCTCCTACCAATACAAGTCATCTTAGTTTCCAGAAGACCAACAAAAAATACATCCTGCTCTCTAACCATCTCCTTTAGATACAAGGCGGCCTCCCTCTTCCTAACCCCCTTGCAATTCCAGAAAAGAAGTGTAGACATTTAATATTTGTTTGGGGAATCCTCCCCACACATGGAGTTCACCCTCCCATCCCTTCTCTTCTTTTTATAACCTGTTTCAAGAGGACCCAAAGATCTTAGATCTTTGGCAAGTTTAACCTTGGTGCTCCCACTTTGAGATCCCAAACCAGCCTGCATTAAATCTACATCATTCAATTTCACAACATTATTTCCAACCCCATTAATTTCCTCAGTGCCTTGAATAACCAAGGCCTCAAACTTATCCACATCCACACTGTGCTTCACGGGTTCATCTCCAGACTCATCCAACAGAGCATAAAATCTGTTACTGACCGCAATTGGCTGAGTATCTCTTACAATATTCTACTGCCCCATAACATCCTTCTTCTGATCTAGCATTTTATCAGACAGTAAGTTCGGATTACTTACATTATCCACCTTCTTTATCTCAGTAGCATTAGCTTTCTGCACAGGTTTGAACCCCATATTATCCATCTTATTAATCTGTCATTCAGTCATTTTTCTTCCAGCACCAAACGCATTACCAAAGCATTTATTTTTGAAATGTACATGTATCCACAGTCCGTATTCTGACTTGATCATCCCGGAATTGGCTTCAGGAAAAGTCTTGCTGGACTCATCTGCATCCGATTTGGAAATGGCCTGATCAGTAATCCCATGAACAACCTTCTCAGGGCATTCCATCTTGTTGTGACCCACACGACCACAATGACAACACAACAAATCCACCTTCTCATATTCCACCCGCTGAAAGAACCTGCCTGCTGATCCTTCCACCCAGACTCCGTTTGGTAACTTCTTCTCCAGGTCAATTTTGACACATACTCGGGCGAACGCCCTCTTCCCGCACCGAAAGGTATTCCCATCAATGTACATCGGCGTCCCAAATCGAGATGCAATTCTCGCTATGTTGTCTTCATCCCAACAGTAAAGCGGAAAACAGGGGAATCGAATCCAAATGGGAGTCGTGACCCCCTTGAAGGAGTAAGGATCAAAAGTAGGAGTCCACCGATCCATTCCAACAATGTGTCCACCGATAAACCACGGTCCACCATTGAGTATTTCCTCTACGGCCTCCTCCGTTCTAAATGAACAGAGGATCCAATCCATACCAATTGAGGTTAAATGAAATCTGCCATACTTGCTCCACTATTTTCTCAACTCCAAGCTGCACATAGGGAATGACACATCGCTACCCAAAACTTTGATCACCACAGAATGCCTTAAGACATTCTTATTTTTCTCCTCCATCTCTGAATTTAGCATAACAGCGACCCCATCCTCTGATAATTCAATTTTCTCACTATTCCAATCGATTTTGATGTGCTTCGGCTTAGTCCATGCATTACCAATCTCATTCAAGCTTTCTTGTTTATTTGTAACCTCCGTCACCATACCTTCTATCTTTGAATCCCTTCCAGAATCTTTAACATAATCAAGAACCGCATCCCGTTCTTGACCGTTCAAACAAGAATCATATCCAGATTTCGAAAAATCAAGATTCAGTGTACCTGGCATCACCGGTGCCTCATTCCTCGTAATAGCTTCATCTTCCACTATCACCTTCTTGCCTTTTTCTTCAACCACCGATAGACGAGACGGAGGTCTCATCCCTTCTCTGATCACCACCCCTTTACCGCCTCTACCACCAGTGCGTAGCGACACTAGAGGTCGTAGAGCAGCCATATCAACTGCAAAGATCTCCGATCATCCTTCAATGGCCGCGCCAACTGCTGTGGAGAAATGCGGGAAAAATTCAATTCGAACCCGAGGAAGAAATTCTCTCTCTAAAAAAGTGATTTTGGTTTATATTATTACAAAGTAAACTTAGTCACCACCTCATAGTTTCTAGTGTTTAGCATTCCTTCAATCACTTTTTATGAAGCTATTTGGTCTACATTCAACTGCACAAAAATCCATAATTTTGCAAAGCACCATAATATTGATTGGAGATACTTAATAATATATTACCCATTGAGTTAATGGGTTGGCTGAGGCCTTCAAGAAATCTCTAGTGCAGATAATAAAAAATACCCTCTATGAAATTAAATGTTAATAGGATGAGAGGTTCGTGGAAGCCTTGTCGGTTTATCAGATCACTTATAGGACCTTGGCCAAATCCACTCCATCCACATTAGTGTATAGGTATGAGGATGTACACCACCATGAAGTACATATTCCCTAGCTGAAAGTTTCGATCCAAAATCAAATCATAATTAAAAATAATACACATCTTTGATTAGAAGAGCTTGACGTCCTCAAAGAGCATCATCTCCAAGCTCAGTAAAGTCTAGAATTGTATAAGACCTGAACGGTTCAATCTTATGATAAGTTAGTGTGACCTAAAACCTTCTAAGTAGGATATTTGGCCTTGGTTCTTTTGAGGACAACCTTAGCTCATAAAAAGATTGATGGGAAGTTTAACCAATTTGGGAGGGACACTTCATCATGTTATAGTTTACAAAGGGGGCTCATATCAGTTAGTTGATTGTAAAGAAAATCACCTAATGTTACCTGGCAATGAGCGATTCCTTAAGAAATACTATGCTTGATGTAGCTTGACTTATAAATTAATAAAAATATTTACATGTTTTGAATCAATTAAAATTGTTCTCATTTAATCCTTAAATCTTAAATTCAATTTTCTTTTCCTTAGTAATAGATTTTCCCTTTCCCTGGGGTTAGAATCTATTAGTGATTGAATAAGCCATTTTAGACACCATCCTAGTATCAACTTTAATATGTCTATTAGATGTAAGCCCTATATCAGCATCTTGCAGACCCAAGGTTAGGTAATTCCTTCATGAGAATATAAATTTAATCTATTTATTCAATTTAAGTCCTCTCTCAGGATCCTATATACCTGAGGTTACATGGTGCTTTTCTTAGAATTTAACTTTAATCTGTCTATTTGGTATAAGTCCTTTATTGGAATCCTATAGGCCTAAGTTTACGTGATGACTTCATTAGAATTCAACTTTAATCTAACTATTAGGTGTATGCCCATTATCAACATCCTCTAGACTCGAGGTTAGGTGATGCCTTAAGTTGAATTCAACTTAAATCTAAATATTAGGAATACGTCCACTCTCGGCATCCTTTAAACCTAAGGACAGGTGATGCCTTTCCCTAAACTTCAATTCAAACCTGTCTATTAGGAATAAGTTCTCTATCAATTTCCTTTAAAGGGTGATGCTATCCTTTAGAATTAAAACTCCAAATTAGATTTCTTTTAATATGGACTACTTATTATACTACCATATTGCAGGTCTATTTATTCTCCTCATTTTTATATGAGGCCATTAGAACCTACCTACACTCCTTTTTAGTTATCTAATGATAGAAGAGTGTCCACTTGCCAATCATATATATCGCTATTATATTTTAATCCATCCTTTAATCTAAACTCAAATCCCAGTCTTTTGTTATAGACTTCAAACCAACTTTTAGTCAAACATTAAATCCCATACAATCAATTTTAGTTATTTATTTGATTGGGATTAAGATGGATAATTCAAATTAAATCATTCAAACCAAAAATCAAATCTAAATCAAGAGTCCTTTGACAAAATCCCAAGGTTAAGGACCCAAGTCCTGAAACCATTTCTAGGTGATTTTTTAGTCCCCTTGAAAACAAATAAAATTACTTCTAATTTATGATCTATCAGTTGCATATTGATCATTCTTGTTTTGAGGGTAAACCATCCAAATTTTAGCTCAATCTTACAACTTTAATCCTAAAAACTAAATTTATTTCCATATGCTACAGTACCTTCAAATAGTTATAGCCTATGACACTAGGCCCTCCCACCTTGTGGAATTTGACCTTGGGGCTTTTTCAAAACCCCTCACCTTATCAATGACTCTTTCAAGGACATTTTGTCCAGTAATTCACATATGTTGGATTTATTTTAATCCATCCTTGAACAGGGGTCAAAATGACAAAAAATAAAATACCCTTTAATGAGATTTTTTTTTGACTTTTCCCTAAAACTCAACATGGCTCAACCACATCATACCTTGAAACATACTCCAATACATTCTAAACATTATTAGGAGTTCATTGGACCCAAATCCAGGCTTTGGTTTTACCTGGTTGACCAAGTCAATAATGGTTTCCAAATCAACCATAAACCCTATTTTGCACTCATTCCTACTTCAAATTATGACTCAATCTCTTCAAACTTTCTGACCACCTATCCTAGTGACTTTGACCTAAATAGCCACATGGACCCCGGTAGTATTTAGCATGGTCAATTGAACCCATGTTGGGTCAAACTTGTCTTATTTGGGTAAAATCTTCTCATTTGATCAAATCAACCTTCTCAAACCATCAATCCTACTCCAAGTCTTAGTTTAAGTGCATTCAAATCCATCATAACTCAAATCTTGAGAGTTTGACAAAGTTAACCTTTTTTAGTTTGGTCAAATTCCTCATATTTGAGTGAAGTCCTTTTTACATTGAATAAAATAATATCAAACCCTAAAGTGCATTTAAATATGAAGTATGAGCCCAGCCATCTCACCTTGAGGCAGACCTTGGTAAGTATGACCAAGTCAACTATTTAGAATAGGTAAAATTCTTATGCCATTGATCAAACTTCTTCAAGAATCTAATTAAGCCATACCAAACCCTTAATTCAATTCTATTTTATGGTTTGAATATTTCCCAACTTTAATGCAAGTAATACATCCTTAGGTTTGACCAAAGAAAACCTAAAACTTGGTCAAACCTCTCCATGCACTTGGCTATTCATTTAAACTCCCTACATATGGCCTCACATTCCTTCCAACTCACTCAAACAGGTTGCATACACCTCCTCATACTTCATCTTAGTGAACCTCATTAATTTGACTTGTCAACTAGTAAATTTAAGCTTAAGAAAAGCTTTTCATGGTCAATCTTTCATCTAAGATTCAAGTGTATTGTTTCAAGATTTTGGAATACACTTGGCGAGTAAATAATTATCCTCCCATCACAAACTCACCATCCTTTATCCTTTTAACTGGTCAAACTAGTCAACTTAAGAATAAAACCTATTCAAATGTTCAAACTCCCTCATGCTCTCTCCCTCCTTCAAATTAGCTGGTCCTAAGACCCAATTTAAACACCAAAGCTCTTCTAAAGACTCATTAACTAAGCTAAATTTTTGGTTTAGCCTTAAGATGTAGGTTTTACACCCCTACCTACCCAAGCACCCAATAGAAATGAGATTATTCTATCCTTCCCCTAGTCATCCCAATGTCTTGGGATAGGTGTAGGGCACTTAATGAAAAGCTCTGATGCATCAGGGCCATTGATCTTAAACCCTAGTGATTAAACAAAGAAAAACACCTCATATCACTCATTCACTCAAGACCCAGCCTCCAAGCCTCCCCAGAGCTCTTCCTCATTTCATTTCAACTTTCCAAAGACTCCTCTCCACTTCCCAAGTCCAAAAAGATTGGTCAATAGGTGACAGTGGTGAGATTCTAGTGAGAAAAGCCTTAGTCTTTCCAAGGTTCATTGCTTCCAATCCAGAAATTTTTAGCCAAGGTTTCCTTCTAGAGATTTGTACAAGAACACTCCACAAGCTCAATAAACCCAAGATAACCTAAATCCATCAGTTGGATCAAGGTAAAACCTTAAACCTTGCTTTATAATATTGGTTAAAAATAACTTTCTATAAAGTGATTTTTACAAAAAATGAACAAATTCCCACAACTTATCTTCATGAAATGAAGCTCTGCTTAAAATTTTATGTCATTTAATTGTGTATATTTTGAGAACAAAGTGATTTCCTTAATCTTAGGGTTAGCAGTAGTGTGCATGAATTTGTACAATTTTTAGACTATTTATCAAACAATCAACAATCTTAATTTTATTGTTTATTAATTTAATCAAACCACAAATTTGATCTCATAATTCTACCATTTTTCTGATTAGATATTGACACACATCCAAACCACATGTTGGTGAGCAAACCTGATCTAGTGTTGACTCAGATAAATAACACACAGTGTTGCGTCGCACAATGATTGCCAATGATTATGATGATGTATTAGTAATGATTGCATACCGACACTGCGGCTCCGAGAGCATTGTGTGGCTATCCCATCTCCATTTCTTC